TAACATGATTCTGTCTGATTTTTGTGATGATATTTTGGAATGTCTACCGGTGTATTGTGTACAGCTTAAATTTTATGTATCCAGTTTCATTTTTATTGTTCGTTAACATATTTAGAAATCGTCGTAACGCTACTTTACACCTATCGATTGATTTTGTGTTGTGATTGTAAAGTGCATTACGAAGTTCGACGTTGCGATGCGTTTACTGCTGAGTCACCGCGGTGAACTCATTACCGTGTCACGTGAGCTCGAACGCTTGTGTAACCTTCGGCTTTTTTGTTATATTATTACTTCGCCTACGCACTGATTATTGGCAAATCTTTCTTGTGCCAGCCTTTTTTCTGTCTTGCTACGAGAATTACGAGAATCCGTATATAGGATCTGTTTTGGATCAAAATTGTGGTATATAATATGGTCTAAATACATATAACGTGAATCTGTTTACGTCATGGGAAGCACTGTTTCCGTGGCCTTTGAAAGGTTCCAATTCGAATCGTCTTATATCTGCGTTGAACTTGTAACCTGCGAATGCAGATTGTATTTTTGATATGTTTGACAGTCATTTGAAATTTATGATTTTGGTATGTGATCGTGATCACCAGTAAATTTCCCAATGCCTCTAGGTATTTGATGCAGACGGCAGTACAGGTCTGTCACGTTCACGTACTTCGGTGCATCATTATTAAAATGCTGCCCTTCTGTGACGCAACGGCTAAAGCCGACGACCACCACTTTCTCGTATTCATTCGGCCGAGAGGATGATCTAAACGGCAGATGCTAGGAAAAGTGTCATACAAGATAAGCAATCCGGTGCATATGTCTGTTCACAAACAATGGTGAGTGGTGCTTTACTGCTGGAAGCAGTCGTGATTAATGCTATTAACTTTTCTACCATAGAGAGATGGCTTGAACGTTGCCAAATTGCGAATACAACAGAACGAGCGACTTGCTGAGCATAATTCAGAGCAACGGATTCATCGGGCTAAAGGTTGTGCAGGATAACAAAGCACTGGACAAGATCCAGTTTTGCGGGACCAAAAATCAAAACCTCATGATCAAGACAATTAGCAAATAACCCTCAATAATTATGGCACAGGTTTAAAAATGGCAGAAATCGAGAATTACTTATTTGAAAGAAAGTTCAACGTTTTGTTGTCGCAAAATTCAATCATCACAACAGACAAATTTTCCTAAAAGCTAGCATAATACGGTTTCATTCAATGTTTGCACAAAACGCAGTGTCGGATTATAGAATTCACCACCGAGTGTTTCGTTTCTCGCCTACCTTCGTCACAACATAGTAATTCTTGTCTGTGGTTCACCAAATTGAACGCCAACGGGCCAGCATCTTTTGCTGAATAAAGTTCGTGGAATTCGAATTGAGGCGAAAATAGATATTGATTTATCAACCATTTGCATCGGGCGTAATGAAAACGTGTATGCTGTTTTTTCAACCGAATTGGACCTCATTTTTTGGTGCGGAGGAGAAACCGCCGGAAAAGAGGTGAGTGTGGTCGAACTCAGTGAGGAATACTCAAAGCGGGCCAGGTCTCAGAGCCGTTAACTAAAATCCGCTTCGGCCTGGGTGAAGGGCTAACGGACGTTATGTCCAAGGTACCATGCTAGCTTTGACAGTAGTCAAAATCATTTATGAAAGTCAAATGAATGGAATGTACAAATAAACAATGACAGGTCCCCTGCGTGCACCTCCGACCGATGACGGATGGACTTCAGCAGAAACATATTCGTGCCTACCCCGTTGCAGGTGCCCATTGATAGGCTTCAGCTCAGATGGGGCGATGAACTTAAGCAAAGAGATGCTGAAGCGTGTCGCTGCAAATCACAAAACTGACGAGACGATCGTGTGCATCGAAATTAGGCAATGGTGATCCCGTCTAACTGCAAAGAAGGATCAGTCCATTGTTGTTCTATGCTTTATCCTGTATCTTTACTAAACAGCATGAAAAAATATTCAGTCTTTACCTGGACCCTGAAGATTATCAGCAAAGTGCAAGCCATCACGCTGGTTGAAGGTTTGTCAAGGAAATAATCACCTCGATCTACTTGCGTAGCTGCAAAGCTATCTTCTTTCACATATGGAATAGGGAATGTAAACGACTGTGCTCCAATCAACGATGAAAGTCGATTAGTGCTTTTGAGTGGATTATTAACAAAATTTCAGCTGAACAAGCGGATACTATTTTACGAGCAAAAAATCAACAGCTTGATACATCTTAATATCGCAAGAATTCAATACAAGTGTCGGCTAGCTTATGAACTCTATCATTGTAATTGATATGTTATTGATTCATTCTTATTCAAGAAGGCCGTAATTTCTGACCGAATCTCTGGTAATAATTTTCTACCGAAGGTTTCATGTATATCACGCCAAATACAGATGAATCAGATCTACGCATAGATACTACGCTTACGGTTGCGTAGGATCTAAATGAGTGAATTTGCTAATTTATTCGATTTCTGAAGTATGTCTGCTGTAGTGTGCGTTTTTTTGCCGTTTGCTATGATCCTTACCGTGGGGCCTTTGCATTTGCAACCAAAGTCGTGATTTTCGACGCACCTTTAACTTTTCAGTAAGTCTTTCGTATGCCACAGCTATGACAACATCGTGGAAGAGACAATTCCTCTTAGAAAGTGTACATCTGTTCATTTTGGTGTTCTGGACGATGTTTTCCAACTTCGGTTCCCACATCAGAGTAAATAGTTTTTGCCCAACCAGTATGTTCCAACAGGGTCAGCCTCCTTTTCAGCTGTGCCCGGAACAGAATAGAGTCGTTCCTAACGTGATGCTGCCATTTTACAGTCATTGTGCGTCGAAACCGAAGCTGCTGTACGCCGTTGAACTGTCGTTCAATGCGTTTCGTTAGACCAACTTAGTTCAAGACATACAATCACAAAAGCCCTGTTCGAGACCAGGTACAAAATAATTTTTGTGGATAAGGTTATTCCCACTTATTTAGCTTTAATATATTGGTACTTCCGTTGGATGAGTTCTTCACGTGGTTTGACTTTTCGACGCTGAGGAAAAAGAGGCTACGATCATCTACCGCAGCTGTCTTTCATACGGAAGCGAACAGGTGACAAAGTCCGTTTTCAGCACTATGGTTTTAGAATAATATCGACTGTCCACTACAGCTTGGCAGGGAATCAAGCAGATATCTTGTTTTGTCTCTCTCTTCTGGAATCAGAGAAGGCAGAGAACAGGGTAAGCGACATTACTGTGGTGAATTCCAGGTAATAGGAATCAATTGGATAATCTAACTTCTTCTGTAATATAGCATATGACTTTTTCGTACCAACTTCCTTGAACAACAACATACGGCGACTTCAGCAACCCAACCATCATACCTTGAAGATAGGAGCCAAAATACCAGTGTGATTCTACCACTCATACACCGTTACACTGAGTTGTGTATTCATCTTTTATCTCTGACATATTCTTGTCGTGGGCGCTTACCAAAACAAGGCGACACTACCAATCCGTTTTCTTCTTGCACGTCTCCTGATGAGTCGTTATTCCAGAGTGCATTGGGAGTGCAAACCCTCGTGAACAACTGTCGATAACTTTCCTAGAGCAATAATCACTTTGGAATCAAAGAAACCATAATTATACAATCGTAGAAAAACATCAGTCGGGACAAACGATAAAAACTCTGCACGAATTAAACAAATCTTATCAAGCCCATGAACGATGAACGACTTAACCGGTATCCTGACTCTACAGCAGCTGCGGACCCACGCCAACTGCACCGGATCACCATGAAGAAGGCTCATAAGAAAGGAGCTGAAACATCGGTACTGGTCAATCACCAGTTAAACCAACTTATTTGTTTACTTCATGCATAAATAAACGTTTTTATACATTTTTCCGTTTTCACTTTACATGTTTTCAAAAATGGAAACGAAGTGCTTAGGTATTCGATAAAATTTTCAGATTTTCAGTACGAGGAACTCCCTCAAACGCAACTTTGAGATCGGAAGAGATGTGTCATTCCTTAAACTGAAACTATCACTCGATGTCTCACATCTTGGACTTCTTATGTGGTAGATAAGTTTGAAAAGTTGGAGAAGTTTCATTGTCGGCAGTAGAATTCAAAGAACGAAACAGACGTTTCTACAGTTTAGATATGGACCCTTTGTTGTTTCCTTCGCGATGAGTGTAAAGTAACTCCAGCGCACAAAATGACGTCAGATACACTGAGCACTGTAGGTGCTCAAATACGATGAGGATCCGCGTAAATCCACGCTCCAGGCAACAAGACACAAGGAGTCGTTGAAAACGCCACGAAATCTGGTCTAGGACGCGTCGTTCGTCATTTGACCTTACAGTAGACAGTACAAATTACTTGTAAATTGCCAGAATCTCTAAGTTTCATGTTAATCAGTTGTATGATTTCATAATTTCGATCTTCAGATCTGCCAGATGAATGTAAGATTATAAAAAACACACCACCAAAATAAATTTTGATCTTCGGCGTTCACACAGTCTTTGATACAAGTGACAAGTGCATTACGCTTGATCAGTAGCCTGTGCCGGGATTTCGATATAGTACAAAATGCACAAGTGCTCACGGCGCTCATCTCGACTGCACTCATTAGCCTCAAAGTAGATGAGGGATCTGTGGAGCGGAGGAACTCGGTTAACATTATTAAATGCAACCTTCCAACCTCATTAAATTGTTCGTAGTCGTTACGCTGCGGATCATCGTTTCATGGGGGTGGATGAGGAAAATCGATATTCGAACGCTAAAATTGGCCCTCGGCCCTCGGCCGGTCGTCTGCCTGCCTGCCTGTCAAGATGAAGTTTCCTTCTGCTAATCGAAAGCCGGCGCTCTACATGCCATCTGATCGAGCGAGACTCTCGTTTCGACGACGGATGCCGTGTCGCGCCACTGTCAGCGCACCGCCACACGACCCTGCCCCGACGACGGTGGTCACTTTCGCCGGGCCGTTCGACTGCCCTCCCTTTACGGCTGGACACTATGCATTGGCGCGTGGCCGGAGTGGCCGCAGCTTTGGTCACTTTCTGTCGCTGTATGTCGGCGGCGGCCGCAGCTGCGGCCGGTAACGACTTCGACGACTCGACGACGATGGCCCCTGCCTTGAAGGTGAGCGTCGTCATCGACAGCTACTACCTCAGCAACGGCATGGCACCGACGGTGACCGCCAAGGCCGAGCGAGCCTTCGCCAGTGTCCTGGAATCGCTTTCTTCCCAGCTGAACAACGCTCAACTGACCGTCATACTGGACATCTCGCAGATCTCTTCGAAGTCGTCGTACGACGCCGACAAGTAAGTGGTGCCTTCCTCGTTCTTCGTCGCCGTCATCCCTCGACACACCACCATTGCCTCGTAACGTTCGCTCTTGCAGACTGGTCAACCCGCTGCGGATAACCTCCCAGGAGCTATGCGCATGCATCATCAACGGATCAGTGACCATCGTTTACGTGCACCCTCCTTTCTTCAACAAACACCTTTCGTCGACCATCTCCTACTCCCTCGGCTTCTACCGGGTGCCGATAATCAGCATATCTTCGCGAGATATCGAATTCTCGGATAAAGTAAATCTTCGGTTTCGTTTTGTGTTGTCACGTGTTTATCCTTTCGGGTGAATTAAGCTTATTTGACGGATTATCAAACCTGTCTAAATGTCTCAACCTGTATTATCCGCCGTTACTTCTGGATAGTTATTGTTTTCTGTAGTTGTTGCTGGTTTGTCGTTGTCTTTGTCACCCATGGCTAATAGAACTCCAACAGCAAAGTAACGCACACCAGGCAGAGGTCAAATTCGTCGTCGCACAGATTTTCCTTAATGAAGTGTTTCCTGGTTTTGCATAGTACTTACCAGTAGGCACTTCTCACGCGACATATGTTCTGAACACTTTTTTCCCTCGTTCGGAACCGTCTTATCAAATCGTGACGGGCGCCAGTTTTGCTGATAATTTTTTCAGGCCACTGGCTGTCAGCACTGACTTGTTCGTGACCTCGTACTACCATTACATCTTGAGGATACATCGCACAGGACTATGCTGCAAGCTGTTCCGACAAGAAGACTTTATTTATATTCAGACTGTACATAAGCCCCGCAGAACGGTTGCTGTCAGGATGGCAATCTTCGAATCGGTTCTTACAGTCCGAATTTCCCTATGTCATAAAACTTGCAAAAATTTACTGACGCCATTTCTATGCTATGCTTTAGTTCACGGCGAATGCCTCTGTCAAGAGCCAAAACTGTTCTACTTGAAACGTACTATCGCTCTGTCATCGCATGTATCTTCAGAAAATCGACCCTTCTCTTCTGTCGGTTGTATTCTGTCACATGTTGCAGTCGTGCTCACAGAAATCCTCATGCAGCTCTGATGCATGCCGTTGTTTTGACCTTTGCTGGCAAACTTCTGCATCAACATAACAATTACTGCCTCTGGAATTTCTCGCCATGCTCTGCCCGACTAATGATTCATCAACTACTCGAACCATGACATTGGACACGTACATCCTGTTAACCTTTAATATACGACGTATATTATACTCCGTTCTGATACCTGATAGTTCTATGCACAGTGAAACTATTTTTGTGATCATTTGTTATGGCAGTGTACATCTGTCAGTGTCATCCGTTCACAGCTGTTCTAATATATACTTCAGCCTGTCACCATTGATCGTCATCCCAGATTCTGAAATCCAATTATATAACCAACGGTAATGTTACTCTGATACGCACTGCACTGTCATCATCGGCAAGGTCGTCATTATCATCATTATCAGCACTTTTCGATCCACTGCTGGATGAAGTCTTCCAAAGATTTCGCCACATACTTTTGTCTTCTGCGATAATCACATTATTAAATGGACAAGCGTTTTAATCCTGCCGTCGATCTGGTGGTCTTGCAACGTGCCATTTACTGTCCCTTGAAATCCTTTCTCATGTCTCCTTTATCCGTCCATTGTTGGTTCCTGTTACAACGTGTCATTGCAATGTCATTTTACCTTCTTCCTAACTTCTTGTGATGAAGTCGAGACTCTGGTTTGTGCTTTTATCCATTTGCTCGTCTTCCTGTTGCGATACGTAACAGTTAGTGAACAGCTCTCATGCGTAAGTTGCTGCACGTCGTTTACGTTTAATCCACTTTAACATGCTACCCGACGTTGGTTTTATGGACAGCGCAGTGACTTTAGGACTTTCACAGATCCAGCCATAGGTACGGTAATGGCAGAGATTTTTACGAACGTCTGAACTTTCAACTAACGGATTAATATCACTCAAAAACGATAGATATTTATATCTGTTTAAGGAGACACAGGGCTGGCAAATCCCTTTAAGTTAACAACGTTGAACACTGAAATGCTCCCTCCTCATCGTTCTCATTTCAGCTTAAGCGAACTACGTGAGATCATATCTGTAATTTTCATTCCATGTTATTCTCACGTTTCGAGTGGCTTCACCTTCTTTTGAAAACGTCCGTAGTTCCTACCTACCAAAGCAATAAACTTTACTTGAATAACCGGCAGATTTCTAAGGAAAGTGATGTTTATGACCTGTGATAAAACGGGAATCACATTAGATATTTGCTTGCTTCAGAAATTTCTTCCCAAGCGAACTTTTTTTTTGCATAACATGCAGAAATGAAAAGTAGTAGATGCTTCAATAAGAAAGCCATCGGAACAGCCTCTTAAGCCCTGTGTATTTCCATGGCACCACCATTTAGCTTGTAGAGCGGACATTCGCTGGTAAGATGGTCAATGTCGTAAGTAACCACTCCACAATCACGTTTGAGGGAAACCAGGAATTTCCATCTATGCAAATGGTGCTCCATCTTCTTTACCAAAACGCTCAAATTTGCTGCAGGATCGCAACGGAAGGTTGCCAACTACACATGATGAAAATCGCAAAACGCATGCCTCGACCAGCCAGTGCTTTTCTGACTTCTGATGCATCGATATATATTAGTAAAATGGCAATAATATGTCACAATGGACTGTCGTCTGCATCTGAGGTCTTCACCATCAGCCTTCTTGTTCTGCTGAGGTCTAAATGTATGCGCATTTACCTCATGATACGCCTCTTATTCATTATGGAGAGTTGTGAAGCTAATGGCGTTGTGGTTACTAATGCCTTCGATACGAAACGATAAGAGGCTATCGAGTTCTTTCCAAAGAGGCATTCGCGAACAATCGACTACTGCCGAAAGTATCCTCTAGTCGCAGCGGTAAAAAAGTTTCCAATAAATTTCATTTGGTTCGTCTTTCTTATCCGCCGATCTCCGTTTCACAACCGATTCCGTTTATTTTCAGAATTATTCTCTCTACACTCTCTCGTGAGGGCTGCATTCTGAAAAAGAGCTATGACATTCATTATGCAAATTTGTCACCTCAAACATTCTGTCAGAACTTCCATTACTGCGCTGCTATTTGCTATAAAGCTCGAGGGCAACAATTAACTTGAGGGCAGAATTAATCGGACTTAAAACCTCAAGGTTTAAAATTCTTTTTTTCGTGTCAGCATCTTGAAAGAACAGCAGCGTTCCTTAAACGATTCCTACTGAGGCTATCTGCCAAATTCTTATTGACCTCACGATGCTAAGGTTTGATCTGCGTTGTACGAAAGACATGAACTGACAGTTTCTTGTAATTTCTTCGGATTTGTATGGCGCGACGTAGTCACGCGTCTTTCACTCGCATTTATTTTGTTCATTTCAGTAATGATGCGGTTTTACATCCATGCGCTGCAAGTGCCAAAATAATTTGGAGCTGTGATTTGCGTGCTTCAAGAATGGACTTCATAGGGCAAACAAGGCGGTGCGACTGCTCCGT